AGCCTCATCTTTCTCCCGCGGAGCAGCTGGTAGTTTCGAACCGCTGACCTTAAGGTTCGCAGCCCGATTCGTAACCACTACGCTACCAGAGCTCCCTGCGGACCACTGTTAGAGGTAGTTTATTTCACTGTAGCATCAAGAACACGTTCAACTTTACTCTTATGGTTATTACTTATGGGTTTGTATTTTAATTTTGCTTTACTATTTGTCACATTTAAATATGTGTTTATTTTCAGAAGCCAGGAAGCCACCTTTTTCCAAAAAGATAAAGAGCTCTCATGTTCATAACGAAGATGAAGAAAATGACAGCATATTTGTAAAACTTCTTAAGGCATCAGGAATAATTCTTAAAACGGGGGAGAGTCAGAATCAACTAGGTAATACTTTAATCTAAATCTCTTACCTGTCCTTAGTGAAAAGGTTCAGGATTGAATCACAGATATTCTTAATTCAGAGGCAGGAAGATTGGAAATCAGGAATACCCTCCACTTGTTACCAGATGAAATTACTTTTGAGGGGATAGTGTTATTGTCTTTTTCTGGTTCTGATTAATACATTAAAGTACTTCAAATTCTTCTGTTGAAAAAGTGTTATATACTAGTATTCATGTTTTTGTGTGAAAAAATAAGTTAATATACAGAAAGCAATTTGGTCTGTGTCAGAATAATTTCAAAAGAACATTTGGAAAGCCATGGTATGGAGCATAGATGATTCCACCCTGCTACACTTACGGCAGGTGTTTCTTAGAATATTCTATCAAAGCTATATAAGTCTGTTTTCCTGTGGGTTTAGAAGATTTGGTTCCTTGATTAGGATGAAATACTGGTTTCAGCTGACAAGAAACTTAGGCCCTTAGGGAAGGAAAGTAGGAGATGTTAAAAGACTCAGGTGACCCAATTGTTGTTTTTTCCTCACAGCTGTGGATCAAATAGTTTTCCAAAAGAAGCTTTTCCAGACTCTAAGAAAACACCCTTCTTATCCCCAAGTATGTAACTCCTCCCAGGTACTTTTGCTCTTGCCAGCCTTGCTCTGTAGCTGGCAGTGTAAAGACACTAGCATAGATTTGAATGGGCTAGAACTTGTGTTAGCCAACAGCAACTATTCGACTAAAAACCTTACTCTTCCCCTCCCTTTCTTTTTAAAATCCCTTATTAAGGTAACAGAAGAATTTGTTAGTGGCCTAGAGTCTTACATTGAGGACCAAGACTGTTTCAGGAACTGCCTTTTGTCCTGTGAACGTCTACAGGATGAGGAAGCCAGGTGTGGTGAGGAGACATGGAGCTCTGGAATTCAGTCCGTTATATTTACTAGACTGGGGGAGGGGGCAGCAATTTTTTGGAATTTCACTTTTGAGTGATAGCTCTCTTTTCTTTAGAGTTTTAGCCTTTCCTGGAGACTTTCAGGATTGTGATTATGAGACTAAGAACCAGAGTATTTTCTAGAATATGTCTCACCTGGGTAGATAGAATTTCAGCTTTCCATCTCTCGCTTAAGACGCATCTTCTTATGGTCTGTATTTCTTATGTAACGTAATAGTCATTCTTTAAAGAATATACACTTAACCGACTTTATGAAGAAAGGGAAATGAAAACATTAAAACAAGGAACAAAATACAAAATAAATACCTTTTTTTTTTTTCTTACAGCATGAGCACACCTTACTCTAAGAGCCTCATCAAGCTGCTTTTGGGGATTGATATATTACAGGTGAGCCCATGTCTCGTCCTTTGTAAACATCTGACAGGTGTGATTTCTGTTGTATGCCCAGGTATAAAGGGCTGGAGCACAAGGTAGAGCAGGCTTCGTTGGGGAGTTTGGGTTTGCAACAGCTATACTCTAGCCCTGAGGTTCAGATGATTCGGATAGGGCAATGTCTGTGTCTTTGAATTATAGTAGAATCAAACACCTATGAAATAATGGGGCTGCCAGAGACAGTAGGCCCCATTATTTCATAGGTGTTTGATTCCTGTTTCTTAATGCTGCATCCTGTGTGCTTTAAGCACCTTATATCTCTCTGCTATATTTGTATTTGCATCACCTCCCATTTAGCTAGTTAGTTCCTTATATAACTTGATTATTTATCTTTTTCAGCTTTCTCTCTCTTAATTTGTAATAGTAGGCAATGATTGGTGTTTTTTTAACACCAATCTCAAATTATAAAAGATACACACAATGAGAAATTTTCCTCCTACCCTGTCTTTCATTTTTCCACGTCTTTTCTTTCCCACTATTAATCTTCCCCTACTCTTAATCACTTCCTTTTCATTGGAAATTTTGAATATAGTTAGTTTAAACCCAAGAGCTTTCTTGTTCCTCTAAAAAGAAATCATCTCTTTTTGCAAGCCACAGTATTTGCTAATCTTTTTTTTTTCTTTAAGTTTTTACTGTGGATTGAGTGAAAGTTTACAGGGCAGATCATCAGTTTTACATTCACAAATCATACAGCTTATTTCATCACAATGATTATAATCCCTCCATGTACCATCAGTTAACAGTATTTCTCTGTATTCACTTTAGCTCTTTTAAGAGAAAAACAAAAAACACTCAGGCATATATAATAATTTATACCACCAAAGGGCACATTCTGCAAATCTGCCTCTTGGCCACCATTTCTTAGTGCCTCTCTTCCCATGGATCTAGAGTCCTCAGCTGTTCCCCCTCTCCATGTCCCCATTTCTGCCTCCATTTCTGGTGTCGCTGCTTCTCTGAATAAGGTCCCACATTCAGCTTGTGCTCGTCTTCCTTGATGGTCCTAGGATCCTTTGTTTCTGGACTGTAAGATTAACTGTTCACCCATTTTTGTTAGAAAACTTCTACCTTCGCAATTATGACAGTCACAATTAGTCATGATAACAATTACTCACTACTGAATCATAAGAATGTTATCCCCATCTCTTTTAACCAGATCCATCTAGACAAGATGACAACTATTCATTCAGTGGGGACTCTTTCTTCCCCACACACTCTTAAATTTTACTCCCTCATGAAACCTTGTAAGCCAGTCACTTCATGCCTTTAACGCCCCCTCATTTTAGGTAGCTAATGTCTAACTTGCCTGTCCCTCTCTAACCTGTGTACAGAGGGGATAGCATTGATACTTGATATGAAGACTCCTTCCCTCTCTGTTGGTATTTAGAGTAACTACTGCCAAGAGTATAGGTCAGGGTCATCAAATTGTAGCAATTTACCCTTGTTTCCTTTATAAAAAAAAATTTTTTTTTAGTCTTCTTCTAAACAAGTTATGATTATCAAGCCATTGAGACTAGGTCAAATGGGTACTATATGAATATTTGGGTGTTCTTGTGCCTCTCCCCTCACTTCATATCAGCTGGATGCTTACAAATTTTCTGTAATCATGTTTCCCGACATTCCTTTCTAGCCCACTCAAGTATCTATTTTACAATAGTAGGCAAGTAAAACCAATATTCATGAGACAGTCAAACATTTTAGTATTATTTGCCCTCTTCAAACTATGCCTAAATCCCTGTATCCCAGAGCCCTGTTGTTCCAAGGTTAAGCATGCTTCGTTATTTACCTCTGTCCCACTTAGCCCATGCAAACCTGTCTCAGTGTTCTCCTATCTTGTTCTTCTACCTTCTCACCCTTCTTGTATTGCCCTCCCTAACACTCTAACTATGATGTATTTGCCTTTACCCTGTGCTCTACAGTCACTTCCCTCCACATCCCGAAACCTTCCAGCCCACCCAACCCCACCGTAGCAATTACCTTATATTCCACTAACTTTTACCTCCATTTAAGACAGTCTATATTATCCTGTAATCTACCTGACCTTCCCCACCACCTAGATCTCTGTTTCTTTGTGTTTACCTTCTTTCACATTGTACTTGTTTTGATCATAGACTAACTTCCCAGATCCTCTGAATTTGTTCTTACAATTTTAATCTGTTCTCAACTCTTCCATTTGTTGATTGACTTCCAGGTGATGCTGCCACATATGTCAGTCTTTAGTTGTTGTCTGTTCTTGTTGGTTCTCTGTCCATGGAACTCACTTTAGGATGTATTTCAATACAGGGTTGACTTTGGCAAACTCCCTTTTCTCCTGTTTATCCTGGAATGTTTTGATTACACCATCATATTTTATTGACAGCTTTGCTGGGTAGAGGATTCTTGGTTGGCAGTTTTTTTTCTTTCAGGGTTTTATATATATATCCCCATTGCCTTCTTGCCTGAATGGTTTCTGTTGAGACATCCGAGCTTAATCTGATTTGCTTGCCTATGCATGTTACACTTCTTTTTTCCCAAGCTGCCTTCAGGATTCTGTCCTTATCTTTGATTTTGAAGAGCTTGATTATTATATGTCTTGGTGTTTTTATTTTAGGATCTATCCTTCCTGGGGTTCATTGAGCTTCTTAGATGCTTATCTTTTCACTTTTAAGGAAGTTAGTGAAATTTTCTTCCAGAAATTCTTTAACTACCTCCTCTGTGGTCTTGTGTGATTCTTCCTGTTCCGGAATGCCGATAATTCTTGTTATTCCTCTTCATGTTATTCGACATGAATCTTACACCTTCAGATTTTTTTATCCTTTTTTCTGTTTGTTCTTCTATCTTAGT